TCTCTCAGACTCTCTCTCTCTCTCTCTCTCTCAGACTTTCTCTCTCTCTCTCTCTCTATTTCTCTCTCTCTCTCTCTCTCTATTTCTCTCTCTCTCTCTCTCTCTGTGTTCTTTTATCTATCAATCATTGCTCCCATGACTCTGCGTGCCTGTCTTTTGTGGACCCATAAACTCTTGCAATACGTCCTTGTACAAATTTTACAAAAAGGTCGGAGGAAAAGAAAGGAAAGATGGGATGGCAATGCTTATATTAATGCATCAGCAAATAACACAATGAGCCTGTGCTCAGGATTCGAGTACCAGAGTACTGAAGTACTCACTCGAGTATTTTATAAAATTACTCGGACTCGGGCTCGCGCACCCTTTCGAGTATAACGAAACCCAGGGGTGGGCAAACTTTTCGAACCAGGGCCGACTTCGGCTTGGTCACGAATAACAAAGGGCCGTACCTTTTAGAACTGAACATAATGCGCTATTGTTACTTTTCTTTACAAAAAGTGATAACTTGATCCTGGGAACATCATAGCACTCCGGGATTGCCATACGTGCTCCGCTCCCCGCTCCAATATCCACCTCCGTGTCCACCTGCTGATTGTTCCGGTGCTCATTTGGTTAATATAATAATAGTCCGTCTTTCCATCCCCTGCACCATGCTGGTTCTGCCACTTCCTCGGTAACCTAATAGCCAATCAAATATCTAAAGGGCTAAGTAAAGGAAGAGCCTGTTTCCATGCTTTTTTATTATGAAACTCTTCTTACGCAAGAAAGGTAAAGAATTTTTAAAAAGATCTTGCCACCATCTGGCTAGCCCCCTCGGGCTCGAGCTCTCCGAGCCCTGACAATCGGGTAATAGTTCATGCCATGCCACACTTTCTGAAGTGGCACAGTTAATTAAAATAATACGCCTTCATTGGACATGTGTTAGTAGGAATGCAACTACATGGCCTGATGATCCAGTTGCAGCCTACTATGTGTTTTCATTAGATGGAATATTTGCAACACTTTGTGTTCACGTTGTGCAATTGGGATTTATCAGCAATGATACGAGGGACGTCCAGAAAGTAAGTACCGTTTTAAAAAACTACAAAAGAAATAATTTTCCCAATCAAAACGATTAATTTTTTAATACCTCACATATATATATATATATGACTACTTCTCCACGTAGTCACCAGAACTGTTGAGGCATTTGTCGTAGCATGGGACGGGCTTCTGAATGCCCTCATTGTGGAAAGCTGCCACCTGCGGTGTCAGCCAATGTCCAGTCTCTCCTGTGAGATCAGCGTCTGAGTCAAAGTCCTGCCCGGCCAAAAACTTTTTCAAATGCAGGAACTGATGAAAAAAGTCACTCGGAGCCAAGTCTTGGCTGTACGATGGGTGCTTCAACTGTTTCTATCCGAAGGAGGCGATCAGGTTTTGGGTCTGTGCAGACTTGTGAGGAGTTGCATTGTCGTGAAGCAGAACAACACCGTCCCTAAGCATTCCGCGTCTTTGGTTTGAATCGCTGGCTCCGAGTGACTTTTATCTGAGCGTTCCTACATTTGAAAAAGTTTTTGGCCTGGCAGGACCTTGACATTGGCTGACATAGCAAGCGGTAGCTTTCTACGATGAGGGCATTTAGAAGCTCGTCCCACGCTATGACAAATGCCTCAACAGTTCTGGTGACTACATGGAGAAGTAGATCTAGTCCTATATAATATATATGAGGTATTCACAAATAAATCGTTTTGATTGGGAACATTATTTCTTTTAAAATTATTTTAAAACGGTACTTACTTTCTAGACATCCCTCGTACATGTTCTAATCTATGATAAAAAGTGAACTTTTCATTACTAAACCTGATTTTAGATGAAAAGTTGGAGATGAAATGGCTTGGTCCCCCAGCCAGACGATGTTAAGTTAGAACAACGAGATGGAAGACAAAGTAGACTTTCCTCATTTGAGTGGTTCTCAAAATTTTTAATGTCCATGAGTACAGAAAAATCACTGCGTTTCGTCTTTATTGCTCGTTGGTGGTTCTCGGCTCCTGACTGCCAAACACCCTTCCACATACGCACAATATACACACACAGAAACATCGGCAAAAGCACATGCACACATGATAAAATAAACATACATGACACATGAACATGCACACACACTATACTATTAACTATGCTTTCCTCTGAACAAAGGAAATCTTACCTTTGACCTCAACCAGCCCTAACTTCTAATCTCTACCCACATTGTGTTCCACCCACCGTTTTGTACTGCTGGAGAACAGGCACTCCTGAAATGTGATGTGCTGTAAGGGTAATTTTGCTTCTCAGCAAGAAGTAGGACCTCGGCTATGAGTGTGGCAACACTGGGAAAAAAACACCCCCGCAAGATTGGCAATGGGGGGATAATAAAAGGCCAAGTGCTTATTAACTAACCATTCACATGTAAAGCATAGTCGAGTCGTGAAATCAAGCACTCATCAAAATAATAAAATCGAAGAAATCAGCATTTTTCAGCCTGTTGGCCATTTTAAATGTAAAACATTTTTTGGGGCTCAACACACTTTACCATTTAAAAACACATGTCCGTGTATGGATTTTACTGAAAAACGCGCAGTTTCCAAGAACTCTCTATCTTTGGAAATCACCAAACTTTGAAACAAGGCGACCCTTTCAGTTGCAAATATCTACTCTATCTCTATTCAATAGACGGGTTTTCTTTTATTCAAAACCAAGACAAATAAACAAGCTTTAAATCATATACCAATAACTCCCTACGCCCAAAAATTGACGAGCGCCTTATTCCACCATGTTGCAACACTTACTTATCATCACTGTTACAAGCAACCATGTAAGTCCAAATTTTGAGAATTTTTTATTGTCACACCCTCCCAAAGCTCTATCAAAGATGCACCTTTCAACATCACTAAAATGCAGTTTATTAATGCTACGGTCAAGGCTTACACTTTTCATGAGTTCCGATACAAACAACACAATAAAAACCTAAATCTAGTTCTTCACTTCTGATAAAAAGTACCCAATCAAGTGGGTTGCTTACGACACCAACGAAAATACTTTTCTCAGTAGTATGTCAACAAATAACATCAAATGAAATAGACGTTAAAGAAACTTTCTCTCCAATATCAAAAGGAAATTCTGGGTCATTTATAGCTTTTTATTTATACATTGCACATAGATATATACAAAACAACTTTCAAAGAGAAAAATTTTGGTCCAGAAACTTTTTGCAATCAAAGCAAAATAAAAAACACATAAATGATGCTCCATCATTCTATGCACACAGTGGGAGACACATCCTTTGGTCCTGTTCCACAATGAGACAGTACCAGTCACTAAGACTTCAGGACCTTTTCACCTTTTTTCAAGGACTTTGAATTTGATTTCTGAAAAGAAAAAAAAGCCATGGTCAAACAAAAGTGAAACCTGTTCACTGTTCAATATCAAAGAAACATTACATCTTACATAGAGGACCCGACTATAACAGGACCGCCGGGACTGACAAGATGTCCCTGTTATTAGATACAGCCAAACCCTATCATAGACAGAGATCATGTTTACACGCTCTGTAACAAATGATTAACAGGGAATAGTTTTTATATTATAAAATAGATTATCCAGTACCAACTATTCATTTATTTATGTCTTTTTTCTTTACCATTGATAATATTTGCTCTTCATCCTTATCTTTCTTTTTCTGGTACAGTGAAACTCAGATATAACATTGAACACCAAAAGAAACGCAAGGAAGCAACAAAAGAAACGCAAGGAAGCAACAAAAGAAACGCAAATGGATTTCTGGTGTAGAAAAGGTTATTTTTATTGAAATTGTGTAACAGTTGTGTGATTTTTTAGATGTATTATATATACGAAAACCTGACTTTCATTGAGCATGGACGAACATCTTCGATTGGTATTTTTTAATCGACTCATTAATATCACAGTAATCTTAACCCTATCAGTAAGTCATGTTTTACTATCATATATCCATACAACGCGGGGAACTCTCGGCCACCACCTTCCAAAACGGAAATTTACTCATTAATCCGATCCGTACGCTTTGCATAGCAGTCTGTCAAAATGAAAGTTTCAAAGAGATCTACGTACTAGAAGTAGAAGTATTCTAAAATGTGAAGAATACAACCCTGAGAGTACAAAATGACCCAAAGTCTAGACATTCGGTTAAGATGTGTCTAATGGTAAAATCTGTGACACAGAACGGCTTCTCATCTCCCTGTAGGAGGTATTTGTGGGTCAGAGCCGTGTGTCCGATGCGCAATCGAGTAAAAATGACATTGTCTCTTCTGGAGAGGTCCGAAGGATTTCGCTGTTCTAGTTTGGGTTTTATAACATATAGTTTATTGTTTTTCTGTTTTTCTCAGTGGCTCTCCCACAGACTGGAGGTGTACTTTTTGACTTCATTTCCAAAGTTAGTCTGAGGGAGAGTGTTTGTCGTTGATCCCAGCAGAAGGGATGAGGCTTTCTTCGCCAGGTCGTCCACCTGCTGTTTCCCCAGATGCCCACATGGCTAGGTATCCATGCGAACATGATGTTTTTTCCTGTTTCGGATAGTGTATGAATTTTCTGTTGTAGTCTAACTATTTTTGGATGTAGGAGTGTGTAGTTTGTGAGTGAGGTGATGCAAGACAGAGAGTCAGAAAGGATAAGGAAAGATTTGTTAGGAGAGTTTTCTACGGAGTCCAGTGCCATGTCAATGGAAGTGGCCTCCGCAGAGAAAATGGAGGCTTCAGGATGGAGTCTCCTCTGGTGTGTACTGTTGGAAGCAGTGGGTCTATTTATATCCCCCCAACCCACTGGGGGTTCAAGATGGATTAAGGTGCAGAAATACAGCTTTCTATCATTCGCGCAGATACAGTTTTTTTGTGAGTACTTACATCTATGTTGTGTCGTTCATATTCTAAAAGCTCCACAAGTTTTGTTGTACCTTTTTTTATATATTAATTTTTTTTCAGCAACACTTGTCAAAACAAATCACAGTTTAGCATTGCTTATTTCAAGAGCGTCTAACAAAATAACGATAAAAGATACTATGTCTACTCTTTTTTAAGTATCAAAAGCATAAATCTATGCTATGAGTGCGTTTAATGATAATTACTATAAGTACAAGGATACACCTAAAATGTACGGTTAAAAAGTACCAAAAATTAAGTCAGCCCAGACAGAGTGGCGGCAGGGAGCTGACACCCGTGACCCCGACATGATAAGGCGCTCGGCGGGGAATCCCCCGCGGCAACTAAAATTCCACCGCCGGTGCGCCGTGAGCAGGAGGCGAATCTGTCCAAAGTCAAACACAAGTTCCCATCCAGGCACCCAGCGAGAAGGAACATGAGTTCGTGAACAGGAAAAACTTCCATTAGATAAATGTGCAGGTAAGCCTCCACTCCCTTCCTGTCTTTCTCCTCACACACACACACATTCACACACTTAATAAATAATAATAATAATGGATTGCATTTATAGCGCATATCCACTTATGCAATGCTCTATGCACTTAACATGATACATATTATGGATTTACAAATCAATTTTAAAGGCACAAAGTGTTACATAAGCGTGCCCACACATACTCGCGCACGCACGCACAACACACACATACACACATACATACATACACGCATACACACATACGTACATATGCACATACAAACTCACAACCATCTACAGCTTGGATGGATTCTGTCTAATCGAAATATGATGAAAATAGAAATGCTTTTAGTTTCTTAAAAATTTCTAGATTTTCTGCTTCTCAGATAGTTTTTGGAAGCCTATTCCAAACAAGAGGGGCAAAATATGAAAAAGAGCGTTGGCCATATGTTTTGCAATTTATTTTAGGTTTAACAAGGGTTGTTTTGTCACTTGATGATCTGAGCGTTCTAGGAGGTAGGCCTACATAGGGTGTTAAAAACTGTATTAGATAGTCAGGTGATAAATCATTTAAGCACTTGTAGCAAGTTAAACAGACACACAGACACACCCACCCAGGCACACATATACACACACACACAAATGCACACGCACACACTTTTTACTACCCTCAACCTGTCTCACACTATTTTCCAATTGGCTATTATTTTACTTTATATAGACTTGCACGATAAAGATCATGCCATAAACTTGTTGTTAATTCAAGGTTACTGTAGCCCTCCCTTTCAACTGTTTTATCATGTAGACCTACACAAGCTTAGTGGGTCAACAATAACCTTGGAACGAAAATCTCTCTCTCTCTCTCTCTCTCTCTCTCTCTCTCTCTCTCTCTCTCTCTCTCTCTCTCTCTCTCTCTCTCTATATATATATATATATATATATATATATATATATATATATACATACATACATACATACATATATATATATATATATATATATATATACATATTATATATATACAGTTAAACCTGTGTAAGACTGCCACCACCCATTGTCAAGAAGAAAAGTGGCCGTATAAGACACGTGGCAGTCTTAGACAGGACTGATCAAAAGGAAGAAAACCAAACCATTCCTTTCTGGGGTCCTAACCGAAGGTAGCCGCCTTGTTGTTGTTGTTGTTGTTTTCGCTAGGGTTTTTTTTCTTTTGTTGCTGCTTTTGTGTAAGGGTGACAATAAAACGAAATATGTCAGACAAGGAGCACAGAGTGCTATGGTAAAACAAACACATTGGTCGCCACCACTCGGAGAACGAGCGACGCTTCTGTCACAAGCTCATGTTGACGTTCATTGTTACATTGTTACAGACTGGGTAAACAGTGATCACTCATCTCACTTACGATTTGTGTATGAGTTCTGGGCGGGGCTTATGGGTTATGAGGGATCACACGTTTACCTCACCAGCAGCTGAAAATTGGTACCTATTGGTCAACAGTGGGAGGGGCCTACGCAACATGATCAGTTGAAGGGACTACCTAACATCAACGACAGGTGAGTGAATTATGACGGCTTGCCCACAACGCCAGGGGCCAATGCACAATTTATGACAAAACGTAATGGAGTCACTAAGGTGGCCGTCTAAGACAGGTGTTATTACTTGGTGGGATAGGGTTTGTGTGTTAAAATATGGTGGCCGCGGCCGTGTTGGACAGGTGCCCATTTTACAGTTAAATTATTTCGAAAAAACGCAAGGGGGTAAATGGAAAGTGGCCGTTTGTACAGGTGGCTGTCTTATCGAGGTGGCCGTCAGAGCAGGTTCGACTGTATATATAATATATATATGAATAGACATCTAATTCACGGATTGAGACTATTATTGACCCGGACAATGACAAAGTCTAAGACTTCACAGTCCAACACTACAGCAAGTTCGGGCCAACGAGAAGTAAGCTACTCATAGAGTCAGACTTCACCTCTGACAACGTAGTCGCTGTATATATGTGCGAAGTCTCAAGCCCCGGTTACACGCAACGATAAATTGTATCAGATTCGTTATATGAGAGAACTGTCCATTTTATCGAACTGTGTAGTCCGTTTACACATTCCAATCCATCGTCCAGTTTTCTTTCGATTGAGGAGATTCCTCGTCATAAAGCCACCATGTCTCAGTGCGACGACAGTGATTTGCCTGCTCTCTATTAGTTACTCTCTATGTGAAGGTTTCAAGCTCTGTACCTAATGAATGAAAGGTGAACACTGTACCTCAAGATCACGAGAGCCCCCCCCCTTTCCCCTGTACATTTTGATTTAGCAGAACAGTGTCTTTAGAAAAGGGTGGCCATACTGTAGGCCTACCATGTTGTGTGTAGAACCGGAAGCTATGACTATGACTTGAGCAACGCACCAAGTGACTTTGATGCACAGCTTCACCCTTGACGATTAACTAAAAAATAAAATTGCTAAAATATATAATAATAACGCACCAAATCAGGTTTCACATGAGCACCTTTGCTTATTTTGAGACACTGATTTCAAATATGAAATCAGTTTTTACCTATGATAATTCTTAAAAGATGTTGAGCCCTGAGTTTAGTTCTGCGCAGCGGCAAATTTCAAAGTGAATCTACGCGCATCTCTCTCAAGTCTGACAGTGATCGCACGGAAAATATCAAGCAGCGCTTGATTTCTCGACTGAGTCTCCAAACCATCTTTCAATCGTCCAAATTCTGTACAATTTTGTGGTTACACCTAACAATTTATCGTATGATCGCTAGACCGTCCAGTTTCTGTACTGTTTATTGTTACGTGTAACCGGGCCTTCAGAGGTCAAGCTTTTTGTAAGTTTAAGGTTTCTTTTTCCTCTGCCCTTGCCAAGTCACACAGAAGTATTCATTTCCGCTTCATAATTGTTTTGAGTTTTGAATCAGTTTTGATCAACTTTCATCACCCTTTCGACACAATCAGCTATGGAATCTGCTGACTAAAAGGGTAAAGAAACCAAATTTTTCGGATGAATAGACTGTACTGATGCTGGAGGAAATTTCAACCGAGGCAGTTTGCCTGTTTTCTGCCTTGCAGAACAGTGTGACGGTGAAAAAAGAAAAGAGAGAATGGGGACAGAATATCTGATAAAGTGAACGCTTTAGGAAGGAATGGGAGAACGCAGGAGCAAATAAATGGCATTGAAAAGCTTTCTTTGGTTTGAGTCGTAGGCTTGCTCGCAAGCAATGAAAGTTCTGTTTTGCCACGCTAATGCACCTCTCAGTCGATGCCCGAGTTGCGCTGTGTGAAGAATTGTACTGCCTTTCTCTGCGAGAACGAGGATTTCTGAGAGGTGTCATCAGCCATGGATGGATCATGTACCCACTGTCCCATAGGATAATCCCTTGAAGAGGCCTCTGGTTTCCTTCGAATGCCTCTAACAGTGGTGACAGTCTGAGCACTCTGGATTCATGCACAGATCCAGGCCAATTTGCAAAGCACAACTACGTTGATGAACAAAAGGTCTGCATCACAAACCACCTGTAACACAAGGTGTTGGTTTTTTTAGAACCAGTGCACTGCTGCACATTTGCAGTAACAAGAGCCTTGCCAATGGATCCTATAGTAGTGTAATCCATACACAGAGATAGAGAAAGGGGAGAGAGAGAGAGAGAGAGAGAGAGAGAGAGAGAGAGAGAGAGAGAGAGAGAGAGAGAGAGAGAGAGAGAGAGAGAGAGAGACAGAGAGAGAGAGAGACAGAGAGAGAGAGAGAGAGAGAAAGAAAGAGAGAGAGAGAGAGAGAGAGAGAGAGAGAGAGAGAGAGAGAGAGAGAGAGAGAGAGAGAGAGAGAGAGAGAGAGAATTTCATTCCAAGGTTATGGAGGGTTACAGTAACCTTGATCTTTATTGTCCAAGTCTATGAAGTAAAATAATAGCTAATATGAAAATAATGTGAGACAGGTTGAGGGCAGTAAAAAGTGTGTGAGCGCGCGTTGTGTTTGTGTGAGGAAGAGAAGGGGGGGGGGGGGGGGGGGGAGGAGGAGAAGACATACATTTATCGAATGGAAGTTTTTCCTGTTCATGAACTCATGTTCCTGCTCGCTGGGTGCCTGGATGGGAACTTGTGTACCATCGATACACGCGAATGTGTTCTGAGACCTGTGCAAGGTTCTAGTGATGGATGGCCGGCACACTCCAATCAAGTCTCCGACTGCATTTTGAAACATCCCAGTTGCGTAGTACCGTAATGTTTATAAGTACCAAAAGAAGGGTAAGCGCACCCTTTCGATGTATGTCAAATTAAAACGATGCTTTCTCCTCCGTAAGTTAAAAAATATTTTTGCGGTAAAAGAAAAACTTCTGGTACACTTTTGCATCACTGAACTCCTCAAAAGGGTGTGTTGTATCTCTAAAAATACGGAATCGCCGAGTGTTAAGATGATGTCTCTGCTGCCTATGTCAGTATGTGATAATACAACACCGAAATGTGGCCTAAAAAAGGTTAGATAGGAGGTTTAGCTTATATGGGCCATATGTGGCCTTAATAACTAAATAAGGTTAGGCGGGGGGCCTATATAAGGTCACCCTTTAAATTACTTGTTCCAGTTTCACTTTTTTTACTCAAAATAGGTACCACAAACTGAAATTTCAAAGTCCTCTGATTTCATAGTTAACTGCACTACCTTATAGAATTTATCATTCTGAGCATTTTGATACCAAATTTATACATATAGGTTCATTTTTAACAAAGTTATGAACATCTGAAGTTGCAGAAAAATGTTACAGTTTTTTAATTGCGAAATGTCTACACTTTGAGATGTCACAACATTCTTAAATTTGAACGGACATTCACAAAAACTTGTAGACACACACCTATGAACATAGAAAACAAGCTCAATTTTTTTCAGGGCTATCAAATAACCAGAAGATGGAAATTTATTGACGTAAACATGGCTTTTTGACCAAAATGGCAAGAAATACAAGGGGAGATTAAAATCCCCACTCGCGACCGCCGGCTTATCGGCTGCGCGCCGGGCCGCGCTGAAGGGAAGAAGAGAGAATTTATACGAAACCGGGGCAATGGTGCCCTGCTAGCGAGCCGATGGGGAGCGTCCGGTGTTTATTTGCGTATAATGGCTGTGTTATTCTTGAAGAGGAATGAATGGGCTTTCTGCCGATATATTTCTGTAGTCAGTCCGATCACTGGTTCCATAAAAAAAACAACACCGAAAGTTTTCACACGCAAATCTCTTCTATTAATTCTCAAAGAACAGTCTTTAGAAATATATCACCGGAAAGATCGTCTTCTCATCTTGAAATATCGACGAATCAGATTGCAGTATATAATACCATACGCTCCCCGTTCCTGTTCAACCGAGGTCACTCGAAAAATCAATACACGAAACGCGCTGCCGCAACAATGAAAACCTCGATAGTGTTGTCTTTTTTCCCCCAAGATTTTGTTTTCCAAAGAATCGTTGATTCAAATAAATAATACCACTAAAAAGTGGAAAAGCTCCTCTTTCTTCTGATATATCAAGTGTCTGTGTGTATGCATGATCACACTGTGTTTTAGGAGGATAAAAATGTGGGTTTTGGTCTCCGTGACAGTGCGCCACGGGGGCGCACAGCCAGTTTGCGGTACCTACTCAAAACTATCTACTGTGGCATGTACTTTACCAAATTTCACACACTGGTACTATCATAATATACAAATCTGAATCCTACCAAGGCGTTTTGAGTACTGATCCAGGCTGTATGCTGCACGCTCCAAGTCTGTGACACTTTCTTCCACTAGATCAATTTGTTGTAAATATGGATGCAATCTCTGATCTGAAAAACAAAATGACAGGCAGAATGAGACTGATGAAAAAAGGCTATCACATGTACCAGTAATGAAGTTGGAGTTGAATAGAAAAGCTGTCCTGATCCACTGAAATGGATTCCTCAAGCAATGGTAATCTCAATCATAGTCAAAGTGCATTAAATCTAAGGCCCACAATCAGCGTACGTAATCGATACCAAAATATTCATGTTCTCAAAAGACTACCCTGGAGTTGAACACTGTCTTGACCTTCTTTCCAAATGCCCCTACCGTCTTCCTCATTCATTACTTTCACTATCTATTCAGGGATGCCAAATGATTTTTGAAAAAAAAACTGAAAATGAGCGGAGCATCACATCTCACCTAAACTGAACCTTGTAAAGCTTTTAAATGAAAAAACAAAAACATATTCTCTCTTAACTCTCCAGTTTCCTTTGCAATTCCAAATTGTAGATGGCTGGTGGATGCTCTGATATGGTTTGCTCCTTCTTTTCTATCAAACTTCTGTCATCCTCATCTGTCCTCCTTTTTTTCTTTGGTACTTTATTATAAGTACCTCTAATCTCTGACACTTATATAACCAAATGCTAATTGTGTTGTAAGAGCTGTAAAACTCATACTAAACTAACTCACTTAAGCCAAATTCGCCAGGCCTGCTGTTCAATTCCCCATAATCCTTCATTTTGATAAAAGTAAGGTCATTTTGATAAAGACAATGCTTAGTAGTCGTTGGGGCTGGGGCCAAAACCAGATTATCATAAACAACTTCAGAACACATGTGAATTTCAGTTAAAGGGATGCATAATCCTCCTAGATCTATGTGTGGTGACAATGGTGTCACACAATGTCATTAACTGAACAAGTTGCATCAACACTAGAGTAAATCCAGCTTTCCCACCTCCCTCCCCTGCACGGTTTGACTGTGACACATATTATATCATAAAATTATGTGCACACAATCAACTTAGGCCAACTGCTAGTCACATGTAGGCGCAAGTGGCCGTCAATGTTTGCTCTCTTTCTTTTTTCTGCTTTCTTCAAATTCTTGTCTGTTCGTTTTAAAATTCTGTCGATGGTATGATCACTTGAAACTTTTTTAATAGGACAAAATTATAAGCACTTACTACATTAACTGATTCATTGCATTCTTTAGTTTTAGTAACTGTTTAACAGCACTTGCAACATAATAAGATCATAAAAGTGCCAAAGATTAGGGTGTTACAAGAGAGTAACAAAAACAAAAAAGAAGGAGGGGAGATAAAGACGATAGACATTTGATAGGAAAGAAGAACAAACCCACATCCGGCATGCTCAGAGGCAGGATGGAACCACAGCTGAAACACAGGTAAACATCTCATAGCTACATCTCTCTCCAAAGACTCACCCAAAGCAAACTACAACACAACCTTCCAAAACATCAGAACTAAAAGAGAACAACAACACCTGAACTTCCACTCAAACAACACTGAAACCTACAATGCAGACTTCACATAAGATGAACTAACATCATGCATCTAGGACCTGGGCAATACGGCTCCCGGTCTGGATGACACCCACAACCAGATCATTAGACAATTTACCAACAGAAACACTTATACTCCTACCAGACATATACAACGACATGAGGCGGACGCACTCCTTTCCGGAATCTTGGCATCTTGCCACTGTCATTCCAATACCCAAACCTACAAAAGACCACACACACCCATCCAATTACAAACCAATAGCACTAACGAGCTGTCTATGCAAACTTACAAAAAAAATAATTCTCAGGCGACTCATGTGGTTTCTGGAGACAACGGGCTCGCTGAGCGGTCTCCAGTGCGGATTCAGGAAAACATGATCCACTCTGGATCACCTGGTCTGCCTGGAGACCTCTATATATGCGAGACGTTTGCCGAAGGAGGCCACACGATCGCCATATTTTTTTACCTAGAAAAAGCCTTCGACACAACCTGGAGGTACGGCATTCTCAGAGACCTGCATGCTCTCGGCATACGTAGTCACCTCCCTACCTTCATAGGCAATTTCCTGAAGAGCTGTTCCTTCCAGGTTCGAGTTGTCCCCTCCCTTTCAGATTCCCACCTCTTGGAGGAAGGTGTTCCCCATGGAAACATCCTTTCTCCTCTACCGTTTGAAATTAAAATAAATTCCATCGTCAAGACCCTCCAAAATAGCATAGACAGCTCGTTATAATATGTTGATGACTTCTTGATATACTGTTGTTCCAAAAATCCTCAACTAAGATCTATGGAAAGGCAGCTGCACAAACTTGAATAGTGGGCAAACAATAACAGTTTAAAGTTTGCCATGTTACAGACCGTTGCAGTGCACTTCTGCCTATCAGACAATTGTGTACTGCAGCACGATTTGACCCCATACGGGTAAAATTTTGTCACTTCCAGAGTAGGGCGGGGACTCAAAACACCTTCTCCACTTATACATTTCCCTTGTCCGATCCAGGCTCGACTACGGAAGTCAAGTCTATGGATCCGCAAAACCCCACGTCCTATAAGTGCTAGACCCAGTACAAAACCAAGGACTCCGCCTCGCCCTGGGGGCTTTCCGCATTAGTTGAGAGCCTCCGTGCTGAGGCAAACATACCATCATTCACACTCAGACATGCACAACTCTCACTACAATACACAATTAAACAGAGCTCAACACCATAGAACCCAGCACACGACTTGTTTTAGTAAGAGTTCTCCGGCGCTGGCAACAGCAAAAGGTCATATGAGTGCCCGAAAAAAGATTCCATTCGCAACAGCTCTTCGCACAGCCTAATTCTGGTCAACACCTTGTTTGTTTGTTTAGTACGGGGTTTTACGGCACTCACAACTGCATAAGGTCATATGAGCGCGCTAAACACAAGTTAGTTTTGTTCACAACAGTTTACTGTACGGCTGGCTCGGGTCAGTCGTTAGATCTTAAAATGTTTAAATGTTAAAAAATCAGTGAAAATATATATATTTTCAATCTAAAACAATTTCTCTAGATAACATAAAATAATTTTTTTAATAATTCAATTTCACTTTAGAATTGGCCATAAAGGCCAATGGCCTTCATAAAAAATCCAAGATTCTGTTGGTGGACCAACGACTCCCCCTTTGGGAATGGCCTAAAGACACTACAGTCAGTGGCAATGCCCTGCGGGGGGGGGGGGGGGGGGGTCAGGACATTGGAGAGACCCGAACGAAGTACAGTAGTCTCCGCCTAAGATCCCGGTGCTCGGGAGCAAGGAAATGCGCGATCTTAGGCGAACCGGGATCTTAACCGACGAACCCAGGGAAGAATCTATGGTGGCCCATGTTAAGGCTCACAATTGGTAAAATGGTCTCCCTTCCCTCTACAATGAACTGACGTGCCCCCTTGGTGGGTTTATGGCGTATGGCGAGCAAAGAGTGGTTAACCTTGATGACCTATCACGGTGCATAGTGGGACGAAGCGTGCCATTTTCACTTATTATCCTATCATGAGTCTCAAGATCTACGCTTATCCAGTTGCCCCTCCCCTTTACCACATTCTGACCGAGTCCCCCTCCCCCCCCCCAAACGAAAAAACCGCCTTTGTCGTTACACACCATTACGTTGTGAACACACCAAATAAAATTCAGTCTGTCTCGCAAATTCGGGAGTAGAGACAACTGCTGCAATGGTCAGGGAAGAGTTCACGGTACGATGTGATCCCGCCTGGAGCGAACGTGTAGGCCCTACCCACCCAGAGAGTGATGCAAATTTAGGGGGAGAGCTCAGGTGTGAGTGCGATGCGTGGGGAAAACAAACGCATCGGTCAGTTCACACCCCGGTGTGATCCCGTCTGGGGCAGACATTGTATCGCTTCATCGAGTTTTACAACGTGTGTGGGATCACATTTACGATAGTGGCTGATCTTTGATGCAACGGACAGTTTATTGATCTCAACTTTTCACAATTGGTTGATCGGCTGTGCCCGCCTGGGTTTTTGTTTCGTAAATTATGATCTGAAATGCGGGTTCTTAGCCGAATGTAGACCATCAGAGCGGGATCTTAGGGGTGACTTTTGTATAGTAAAAATTCTGTTTTCTTAAAACAACGGGATCTTAAGTGAACCGGGACCGTAAGCGGTGGGATCTTAGGCGGAGACTACTGTATTCTAAATGAAAAAAAAATGCAAAATCTGTTTTCCATCATTGATCCCAACAGAACACTTGATTTTATAAAGGCCATTAGCCTATATGGAAAATTATAAATAACGTTAAAATTTTAAATGATATTTAAAAAGTTGTTTTAAATTAGGAATTTTTTTCCTCAAATTTTTAGCATAGTAACATTTTGATAGAAATACTGACCAGAGTCAGGCTGTGCGGTGAACTGTTGCGAATGGAGCCACCTTGTTTCGCCCGCTCATATGACCGTATGCAGTTGCGAGCGCTGTAAAACTTATTAAAACAAAAACAAACAACTCCTCTAAACTATGTTTCAGGCACTCAAGTCAAGGCCAGGCAGTAACAAAGCATGCATTGTGTCCAGACAAAGAATCTGATCTGACTCCATACTTATACACTTACATTTTTCATTTAAATCTTTTAATGCCCCGCTTATGCTCAGGGCAATATGCTTCATCTCAGAATACTTGTTCATTGTCACACTGTTCATCTTTTCCAAAAGCTTGTAGTCTTCAATGGTACCTGTAAAAAAAGAAAAAAAGTACGGTACACATCTTTTTCTTCAAAGCTTTCACATTTCTCGAAACTTAATAGCACTTATTTTGAAATCATCATCAACAATGCCTTTCACCCCTGGCAGTGGCAGGGTATAGACCAACAAGCTGCGTATGAAATAGCCTTACAGAAGTCTAAAGTCTGAGATCAGCCCCAATGATATGCTTTCTTCATTTTGATCAGTCCTCCCTAAGATGGCCACCTGTGTTATTCGGCCACTTTTCTCCTTGACAATGGGTGGCCGTTTTACACAGGTTTGATTGTATAATGTCTTGTTTTCAAAGCTATCTGTCCTTAGGGGTATACAATCAATTGATATATAGCTGAAAAAGTTCTTCCTCATGTGGATGAACTGGGTCTTTTGTGCATATGAAATGTTTTTTCCTCGCGCGAGTTTTATTCTCAGTAATCATGTCATCAATGTGAAACGCTCAGGGCTTATATCCTGGACTTGTATGAGATAAGGTCATAAATGCAATCTGTATAATATAATTATTAATATTATTATAACAAGATTGGACAAACTCTTAAACCTCTTACATAACCTATAAATTTAACTTACATTACCTATAAATTTAAGACTATTTATTTCATTAAACTTAAAATATTAAGGACAGTCGAATCTGCGTAAGACGGAATCACAAGGGAGCCGGAAAAAAATCCCGTATTAGACATTTTCCATCTTAGACAGGGGAATTTAGGGGCGATGAAGGGGTTTAAAAAACCCAGTTGGTGGGATCATAGACTGCTTGTCTGATCGGCAAGCAGAGTTCAATACACTTTCAAAGAGGAGTTACTGTTTGCAACAAAAAAAAGATGAAAAAAAAAAAGAAACCTTTGGAGCTGCAGAGCACATCACAAGCCTTCGATCTTGACTGTGCACAACACAAAATGCCCCAAACCCACAGTGATAATCGTCTTAAGTTTCAAACAATAACCTCTTTTTAAAGAAAATTTGAGATTTGGTCGAGACTATCACCCACAACATACAAGGGCAGGAATTTTCTTACACCTTGTGAACTTCATGTTTGTTATCGAAAGCAGGGATATTACCATTGGATTTTCATAAAATTGAATAAAAATCATTACAATTCCACCAAATTCATAATGATGCAGTGATTAATATGGCTGTCCCTCTAAGATCCTAAGGCTTTTCATGAAAAGAACCCACACGACATGTAAAAGCCCATACGAAAATCATGTCCTGTACAGTGGCATCCAAAAGAAACTTGAAAATGCAATCACTCAATAATCATGTTGAATGAAGCCTTGCATTAAACACTCATGCAGCATACCAATTTAAAGCTAAATAAATTCTGCGCCACCGGAAACATTAATAATTCATCTGTGTTAAGAGATGCCCGAGATACGGTCACTCGAAATTGACCTTTAAAAAATCAGGCTTGAAAAATTGTGCAAAATCACATGATAGAGTGAGGATTAATCATTATTGGTAGAGACTTATACAATCCACACAATAGATGTTGAGATGGGTTAAATATTTAATTCATTCCTTACTCCACCCCATGATGGGTTGCAGCCATCCACGAATAGCACCACTTTAAGTCAATCTATTCTACAAGGTTTTCAACTTCATCAGGCAACCTGGAATGAATTTACTTTTAATATAGGTCAAAGCCGAAAAATAATAGTATTTTCATAATCAGAGCATCAAAATTAGACTTAAGACAGATTCACTCGTGTAGCTTAAAGTGAAGCTTAAACCTATCCCTATGCCCTGGGGTCATTTTGTACCCCCGGGGTTGTATTCTTCACATTTTAGAATACTTTTAGTACGAAGATCTCTTTGAAACTGTCAGTATTTCTAAAAAAATCATATGGATTGGATTAACGAGTTAATTTCCTCAGTGGAAAATGGTGGCACAGAGTTCCCCACGACATATGGATACGATAGTAAAACACATCGTACGGATAGGGTTAATAATGTATTTTAATTGTACATTCCTCTCTAAAACAAAAAACATTATATTGTATTTGCTTGCATCATATGTATGTTACTCCATTGTAGATTTATTGTTTTCATCTGGAGATCTTTATTTTTGTGTTCACTCCTTTAAATTATGTGTGCTTTATCTTCAATCATTTTGGTTGGGTACTTTTATTCAATACAGTGGAACTCGGATTCAACGAGGTCGCCGGGCCTGAACTAAAATCTCGTTGAATCCGAGTGTTCATTATAGCAAACATGAGGTTTTGTGTAGATAATTACAGGCACTGAGCAAGTAATGTATAAATTGAAGTCACAAGTAGTGCCTGAAATCTCTCTTCTCTTGCCCTTTTTTTAACTCCCAGTGGAGCACAGGCCATCAACAGCATTACTCCAGCGAAGCCTGTCCTGAGCATCCTTTTCTATCTGTTTCCATGATGTCCCCGCTTTTTCAATTACCGCTTGTACTGCTCGCCTCCATGTCATCTTTGGTCTTCCCTTCTTACATTTTCCTTGTGGGTTCCACGTTAAAGCCTACCTGATGATGCTTGACGGGGGTCTCCTCAGGTGTGTCCAATCCATTTCCATTTCTTCACTTGTATGTCTTCCTTTACTGGCCTTTGGCTAGTTCTCTCCCACAGTTGAGCATTAGTGACTCGATCGTACCACTTGATCCCCACTATCCTTCACAGGCATCCACTTACGAAGCTCTGCAGTTTCCTTGCTGTTGATGCTGTGAGCCTCCATGTCTCTGAACCATACAGTAGAACAGTCTTCACGTTTGTTTTGAAGATCCTCAGCTTGGTGTTCACTCCCAGTTCCTTAGACATCCATATATTCCTGAGAATGATGAATGCTGCTCTTGCCTTTTGGATTCTGACCTTGATGTCTTCGTCTGTTCCCCCTGCCTTGTTGATGACACTTCCCAGGTAGGTGAAGGATTCAACATCTGCCAATGGTGCTCTTTGCAGTGTGATAGGAACGTCGGCTGCATTCATTTGTAGAACTTCTGTTTTATCCGTGTGAATATGGAGTCCAACACTACGGGAGAAGGTCCTGAGGCGATCTGTTTTCTGTTGCATCTGGGCTCGACTGTGAGAAAGAAGTGCCAAGTCGTCGGCAAAGTCCAAGTCTTCCAGCTGATTGGAAAGGGTCCACCGTATGCCCCTGCGTTGTCCCGATGTTGTCTGTCTCATTATCCAATCCACTGCTAATAAAAAGAGAAAAGGCGATAGCAGGCATCCCTGTCTCACTCCTGTATTAACTTCAAACGAATCTGTCCGCTGCCCTCCAAGTAAGACACTGCAACTCATTCCTTCATACATCTTCTTGATCAATCTCACGAACCTGTCAGGTATTCTGTAGTGGCGCATGAGCTTCCATATTGAGTCCCTATAGGCTGTCAAAAGCTTTCTCGTAGTCAACAAAGTTAACGTACAGGGAAGAGTTCCATTCTGTGGACTGCTCCACTATTATCCTCAAAGCTGCAATCTGATCTCTTTTTATGAAATCCTGCCTGCTCCTCTCTTAGTTTGGCATCCACGGCTTCCTTCAGTCTTTCCAGTATGGTAATGGTACGACTTAAAATCTTCCCAGGAATGGACAGGAGCATGATTCCTCTGTAGTTTTTACACTCATGCAGGTCTCCTTTCTTGGGTAGTTTCCCGAGCAATCCCTCTCTCCAATCCTGTGGAAATTCTTCGCTGTCCCATATCTTGCCAATAATTCCACGAAGAATCCCTGCTGCAGTGTCGATATCCGCCTTGAGAACTTCTGGGGGAATTCCATCTGGGCCGGCTGCCTTGCCTGCTTTCTGGTGTCTTATCGCCTCCTTGATCTCCTCTAAACTAGGCTTTTCTTCCCTCACCCCCAGATCAATCTCTGCTGGTGAAATGCCTGCATATTATTATTATGAGCTGTGTAAAAAAAGACCGATTCGTGCAAATGCACAGGCCTGTGTCATCTCGATTGTTTACCAAAAAGTTGTGTTGCTGTGTAGAGACTAGCATACGGCAACTTTTGATTCCATAGACCAGCGCACAAATCATTATGTCAAGACTAGCTTATGATTGTAATTATGATCAGTTACCGAGGGGGAAAAAAGACTGACGCGTTTGTATGCACACTGACAGGTAGTGTTTTTTTAAAAAGTTGGACGTGTACACATGCTTGCTACCTTACTAAGTGTAGGTTGTTTTTGGACGAGTCGGAAACGTGCGTGTTATGTTGTCATGTGTGTGGTGTGCAGCAAAAGTGTGAGCGAGAACGCACTCCCATCGAGAAGCGGAATTGTGTGTGAGTGAACTGTGTTGCTAGCGTGAGACGGCAGTAGTTAGTCTGGTTAGACACCGGCCGGTGGTTAGTGTGTGTGGACTGTAAAAATTCATAAAAGAGGATCTATAGCTGAAGAAGAATATCTCAGTGACCTGACGTGCGTATAGGTAAGAACCAGCTATCTTATTACATTAAGTGAGCTAACAAACAACATATTTTACAAATTATCATTTACCATCTAATTCTCCCTGCAGATATTCTGCAGTCTTTTGAAATGTTTCCCTGCAGAGTTCCACAACATCAGAAGGCAGGTTGCCATGGTGAGCCTTTTCAGACACACCGCTGTTCTTTCTCACATCTTCAGTTTTGTCTGCAAAAGAAAAAAACAAAAACAAGCAAATAAGAACAACACTTTTTTAAAATCAAAGACAGATTCTTAAAAAAGTAGAAATACTGAAAAACAAGACAGTTCAGCGGACCTCATCTATCAGAACCAACGGGATCGACATGATGTGCCTGCTTGTTTGTTTTTGTATAGTAAGAGTTTTACGGCGCTCGCAACAGCATAAGATCATAGGAAAAAAGGTTGGTTCTATTCACAACAGTAAACTGCACAGCCTGATTCTAGTCAACACCTCTGCTAAAATGTTAAAATGCAAAAAATTTGATGTAAATAAACTAATTTAAAACAACTTTTTAAATAACATTAAAAAATGTCCCTTCTACAGTTGAACCCTCTAATTCTTATAGACGAGGATCAGGTTTATGTGCACTTTAACTAATCATTGAACAAAGGGATCACTTTTATTACATAGATTGTACCCACTTCTGACTTACAAGGGAAAGTCAAAAAGTAAACAAAACCGTCTGAAGAGTGGGCTCAAGAAGAAACATGGGAAGCTATAAGAGAAAGAAAAAAAAAAAAGGCAAAACTGAGGATGCTGCAAATGATAAATTGGAAACTCAGGAAAAAATATAGAATAAAAGACAGGAAAGTCAAAAGAAAGACGAGAAAAAAAAAAGAAAACTATATTGTTTGTTTGTTTGTTGTTTTGGTATTCTTTGCCATATCGACAGACCGAAGGGCTAGAACCCAAATGGCCGCTGGATCTGAAAAGTAAAGTAAAGTAAAGTAAAGTACAAGTTGTTTTGGTAAATAAGTGTTTTACAGTGCTCGCAACTGCATAAGGTCATATGAGCGCGTGGGACAATTAAACATTTTTCAGCTGGTAGGAAATTTTGAATTCTGCTCGCGTGGCGGCCAAAGCCTACTTTTATCAATTTTAGACCACTAAGGGATCTTTACCGTGTGAAACTTGCACACGGTACCTCCGCGATTTTTCGCCCTTGTCCAAGAAGGCTAAATGTAGACCTTTCCTACCAGAAGATCAGGGGTGTGGCTGATAGACAGCAGTAAGAAAGAACCAAGGATTTACTTGGATTTACTTGGATCCAGGGCTAGAATCATAGCAGGCGGCACATGTCCATAGCTGCTCATCTCTCCTTTCCAGCGTCCACCTCAGGGTCTTCCTGCTAATTGTCTCCATGAGGAGCTGGTTTGAGACACGCCTGACCATTCCTCGGAGCAAACTTTTTTTCGCTGTGCCCCGCACACACTTTTCTTTTATTGTGCTGAGTGTGTGGGAGTCTGTCTCCTCTTGGTTGTGAAGGCTCTCCTTGCATCTGGCGATCACCATTGGTGGGTCGAGCATGATTCGGCCATTGGGTGCTGCTTTGCTGGCAAGTTCATTTCCGTGCACCCCGGCGTGACCAGGGCAGAACACCCATGTAATTCTTAGGAGGTGGCTATTTGCAATGGAAGCTCTCCAGTCACTGTAGAGCCACCCACTCATGATTTTTTCTAGGGTGCTCATCGAATCTGTGACAAACAGGGCATGTAAATACGCTTCCATGCTGATCCATTCCAGCGCCTCTGTTATTGCCTTGACCTCCATTGCCATGCTCGACGTAGTGCACTCGTAAGCTCCAGACTGTTCTTTAATTATCTTCCCGCCAACTCGAGCACTGAACGCCCACCCAGATTTCTGGCCACGCCTCACTGATCCGTCGGTGAAGACGACAACATCACCCATCACTGAATTTTCAAGGATGGTCACAATTTCCGCATTAGTTGCACTTGCTGGCCACTCGCGACACTCTCGACCTAGTGTAGCTATCACCTTCATGAAGTTGCTCATGCCTTTCTCCGGCCTCATCCAGTCACATCCTCTTCTTACGTCCTCGATTTCACAGCACATATCGAGAGTTCGCCCCGCCTGCACCATCCATGAAGATCCTCTTTTCAATCCTTGGCGTACTTGGTTTCTTACTTTCGCATGTAGAGGGTGACATTCGTCTGCTGTTACTCAAAGATAGGCCTTGACTTGTGCTAGCTTGTGTCGGTGGGTTAACGTTGGCAGGTCCAGCAGATATCTCATCGCTGATGCTGCTGTGTCACGGGTGCATCCAAGAACAGTTCTCATTCCTTCATTTTGAATGACTTCGAGGCGATGTAGTAGGGTTTTGGATAGGGTGAGCATACCAAGGCCATAGTCCACTACAGACAATACAACCGCTTGAAGCATGATCATAAGGGCACGTTGGGGCATAGATGCAGCCATCACTCTCAGTGCAACAAGTCCTTTCCTTGCTCTGGTGATGATATTTGTCACATGGTCTTTTGCCGACAGGGTGCGGTCAAAAGTAATGCCCAGGTACTTCAATTTCTCTTGCCTTTCCAACTGTGTACCTTGTATATTGACAGTAGGCATGATAGCCTTGACTGCCCTGTTGTTGAGACTGGTCCACAGTACCCCTGCCTTCGCTGGATTAAGTTTTCCATTGTTCTGTTCGCACCATTCACCAATTCGATCTAATTCCTCCTGCATGCTCCTTCCAATCAGCTCCTGATCTCTCCCCTGCCTATATACCAATACATCATCTGCAAAGCTTAGCGTACGGCCAGGTCCCTCCAATTGATTGGCTGTAAGACCGATGGTGTATATATTGAACAAGACTGGTGACAGGGCCGATCCCTGGGGCGGTCCTGGGGTTACGGTAATAGGTTCACAAGCCCAGCTGCCAAGGAACCAAGGAGTAGCACAGTAGCAGTAGAAAGGCTGCAGAAAGCGTCAGGAGCTCAAAGGAGGGGGCAAAAGAGGTGAGGGGGTGGGGGGCTAAATTGGATGAAAAAGTGCATTCATGTGAATACATACCAATAATTATTATGTTCGTGCGCACAATGATTCTTTCCATCGTCTTGGTAGTAACGAAAAGTTTGTAAGCAGCGTTTACTTTCTGAAAATTTCTCGGGTTAGTCATCTGCCTAGAGTAAAGGTTGCATCAAGGTGAGCACGTTTGCGTTGGAGCAACCCTGTATCACAGCGTACCATCTTTACCTTCATAGTGTAGATGTAGTCCAGTTTCCCTTCTATCTGACAGAATGTGGTCTCCTCAGCTGCATGTGGCATAGTTTCCAAGTCTGGCGCAAGTGTGATCATATCCACAGGCTGTAGCATTTCCAGCCGATTATCACTATTAATCTATTGCTTTCAGCTTCCTCTTCCTATTCTTCATTCACTTCATCCTTGTCAGTATCTTGTCCCTCGTTTCCATAATAGTATCGTCCTCCGACCCACTGGCCACATCACTCTCCTATCCATTTTATATAGTCATCATCATTCCTATCTATTGTATCCTCTACCGGTACTTGATACTAAGCGAAGATATTTTCTTGCTCCATAGAAGAAGAAACCATCTCTCTCTCTCTCTCTCTCTCTCTCTCACTCTCTCTCTCTCTCTCTCTCTCTCTCTCGTGGCCTCGCTGGACCGAGAGCCGCTAACCGCTAAATACGACTCGGGTGGCTCGCTATCTATTCAAATCCAGTAATGAAATTCTTGGCCGATCCATGTTTTCAAAATAATAGAATAGACTTCCTGTTAGCAGATACGAAAGAAAATATGGCACTGAGAGACGATTTTTAGTCATTTCAGCGCTTTTTTTTGTCCCCTTCAAAACGAAAAAATGAGAAGAACAAAAGCGCTCCCCTGACTCCAGTACCATGTCTCATATTCACTTCTATATTAGGTACAAGCCGTGCAGTCTCGGCATTGAGAAGAATAGGACTGACGTGGTGCTAGCGTGTCGTACGAGGCGACTAAATGGCGAACCAGGTAGTGACTCCTGAAACAGAGTCATCCTGCCTCCAGGTCAGGGGTTGAGTCATGAGGCTAACTACCTCTCTCGTAAAAAGAACCTGATACAGAAACACATACAAGCAAAAACCATTATTATAAATCTCTGCTTGGCTGACCGTGGATCTTCTCCAAATGGAGAGTTTATGATGCAAGGCGGTGAAAGCCGAAAGGAAGCTGCTGGGCAGAAGTCTCCACCATCATCCAAGTCCATGTCTCTTCCGATCGGCTTGTGGAACGTTAGGACCCATTATGAGGCTGGAAAAACTGCACAAGTTCTCCAAGAAATGCACCGATACCAACTACACATACTGGGAATCAGCAAGACCCACTTGAACCAGTCTGGAAATAGGACTAAGAAAGTGGCGATGGATGGGACACACCTTAAGAAAGCCCAGCGGAAACATCACAAGACAGTCACTGCAGTGGAACCCACAAGGAGCACGAGGCAGGGGTAGGCCACGGGAAACATGGAAGAGATGCGTGGAAAGGGACATGAGAGAAATGAAGCTCACTTGGAACGAGCTTGGAAGGATGGCTCAGGAGAGAGATAATTTATGGAAGGAGAGCTTGTATGTGGCCTATACCCTGCCAGGGGTGAAAGGCATTGATGATGATGAGGATGATATTAGAGGTACACATAATAACTTTCAGCATTTCTTTGCATTACTTGAGGCAACCTACCTGGAAAGTGTGAATGGTGCTGTTGTTGTACTTTTTTTTAGATATATGACCTTTCAAAGCTAGAAAATTGTTGATTTCATAACCTTCGGTATTGCATTATAATAATAATTAATAACTTTTAGAAACCCCAAACTAATATAATTGGAATAAATCTTCAAAATTGTATCACCATCTGAGAGATTATTTTTTAACCTTCAGTTTGATGGGCCATATGATATGGTTTGAGTGTGTTTAGTTGGATGATTTGACATTTTCCTTTGGGGGGTAGGGGCGTAAAAATAGGTCAGGGAAAAGCCAAGGGGGCCAGTGGTGGATTTTGGCCTGGTACGAAAAGAGTTAAAATCAATGTTTTTCAGTAAAATTCAAAATGTGTTTTTTATACGGACACAAAGCCAAAAAATAGAAACTCAATTTAAAAAATAAGATCTAGACCTTGAGTGGGAAAATGCCTGTTTCTCCAATTTCGTTAAATTTTGACGAGCGCCTCTGATTTCACCACGCTGCTTCACATATTTAATAGGCCCACTATACCTAGATCTCATGTATATATTTTTAAAAGTTCCTTTCCATTCAAAGCCAGACGGATGATATTATAACGTGGGCGGGGAGGGGGGAGGGGGGGTTATAATGAAGTTTGACTATCTTTCTGTCTTTGGTTTCCATTTTCCAGCAAATGAATCATAACTGTAGATTACATCTTTGTTTAAAAGTGGGTTTTTTTAAATTGATTTAAAAATCAGTGTAAAAACCGATGACTTCAACTTTTTTCAACATCAAAAGTTATAGATCTATGGGGTGCCAAATATGGACAGGATTGGCGGTCGTGCCTGTTTCGCCAACTCAAAGACAAACGCATAGAGATCTAATTTGTTTTCAGGCGACCTAGTGACCGAGTCCAGCGATTGGCCCGACCCGCCGTACCATACGATAAAGTCCGTAATACTATTAGATAAATCTGGGCGGGGAAATTCACTTCCATAGAGGCTAGGCCTATGATTCATTCTCTTCATCCAGCCCAAACATTGCCAAATAAGTGACCAACAGTAACTTACTACTTTTAGTAACTGGGCACCTGCTGACTCTCCTCAGAGTCAGACACACCTCCTCTTGACTTGGGGGTTGTTTTTGTTTCGTTTTTTTTCAGCCAGAGCAGCCCTCTCTATCATAGACCTAATTCTAGATCTATATCTATATTCTATAGCAATAAGGCAGATTTGTGCCACAATTTCCCATAGGCCTACCTTGTAGATCTACTTGTGGTTCGGAAGCATCAGAGTCTGATTTCTCGCTACGTTGAGCTGAAGTAGTGGTATCTTCAAGTAGTGTTTTCTGAGACTCGGCCATTGTTTTCGTGGATGATGAACACCAAAGAGCTGTCTAGATTCTAGATCTAGATCTAATCTAGATGTTTAGAAGATCTTCTAGGGGCCTACACTATTAGGCCTACTAAATTTATGGGTAAGCAACTTATAATTACGAAAGCGTCAAGCCAGAGTCCCCACTAAACACTCTAGCTCTACGCTCTGGTCCAGTCCCACTCTCTGCCTCCTACTAGATTCTAGATCTTCTAGGTATCGAGATCAAAGATCTTTGGTTGAACTGCTGTTTCAATGTTTAGAGTTTAGAGTTAGCCTAGGTTTAGAATCTATTTTAGGCCTATGAGCTCGAGCAAAGATTCGAACAAGTAACCGAATACAGGGGAAATCGGATTCAACGAGGTCGCCGGACCTGATCTAAAATCTCGTTGAATCTGAGTGTTCGTTTTATAGCAAACATGGGGTTTTGTGTAGATAATTACAGACACTGAGCAAGTAATGTCTTATGAGAAATATTATAGCAAGTGGTGCCTGAAATACCTGCACATTATGAGCTGTACAAAAATTCGTTCAAATGCACGCCTTTGTCGTCTCGATGGGTCTACGTCAAGGCTAGCTTATTGTAATAGCCTAATGATCAGTTGTCCCGGGG